TCTCCTTGTTGCCCTTGATGATTCCGCAGCCTCGTCGTCTTCTCCTCAAGCATATTACTTCCTCATCTTCCAATTTGGTTCATACTTCTGCTTCACCTTTGTCGCCCGTCTCCTTGCCTAGTGGTGCCACGGCTCCAATCACTTTAATTGGCACTCTTCGCTTAAATTCCTCAATTGACTTGAAGGATGTTTTATATGTTCCTAATTTTAAAGTGGACCTTTTATCCGTTGGTAAGCTTATAGATGGTTTATCTTGTTCTGTGACCTTTTTCCCGTCTTGGTACATTTTGCAAGACTTGGTTTCGAAAGCGACGATTGGTGTGCGTAAGCGACGTGGCAACCTTTACTACCTCGTGGCCTTTGCCTCTCTCCCCTTCCGCCAACCTCTATGCAACGTCATCACCATACTCTCCTCCCTCTGGCATAGGCGCCTCGGTTATCCCTCTTTTGCTCGTTTACAAGTTTCAACATCTAGTATTCTCACATGTTCTTTGGGTTCTAGTCATGTTCGTGATGTTTGTCCTTTGGCGAAACAAACTCGTCAATCTTTTGGTTTATGTTCAATTTCATCGACTTTTCCTTTTTCCTTAATTCATTGTGATATTTGGGGTCCAAATCGTCAACCTTCTCTTACTGGCACTCATTATTTTTTTTACTATTGTGGATGACTTTTCTTGTTTTACCTGGGTCTTCATGATGAAGCATAAATCTGATACTCAACAAATTCTCAAACATTTTTTTGCCTATGTTCTCACCTAATTTAACACCACCATTAAAACCATACGTATCGACAATGGCGGGGGAATTTTATTCTCTTCGCCATTTTTTCTCTGAACATGGGGTTGTTTTTCAAACTTCTTGTGTTTACACACCTAGGCCTGGCAATTCCTGACACGACCCGATAACCCGACACGACACGACACGAAATTAACAGGTGTTCGAGTCGACACGATAACGAAACGGGTCGTTATCGGGTAACCCGATAATCACCTGTTAAGATAACGGGTTGGTTCGGGTATACACGTGGGTAACACGATACACGATAAGTAGAATATTAATTTAATAATTTTATAACCCTAAAAAATTACTATAATAATTATATATATATATATATATATTAAATTAACTATAATAATTATAATAATTATATATACTATAATAATTATACCCCTAAAATATTAACTATAATAATTATATTTATATATATATTAAATTTTAAATTAAATTTTATACCCCTAAAAACTATAATAATTATACATACAAAATAAATAGATTCAAATCTACTTAATAAATAAATAAATATATATATATATACACACACACACCATTGAACTTCATGGGATACAAATTATACGAAACTAATTTCAATGATCCAACCGTCAAACTTGTTTGTATATGCTTCGAGATCGCATCAACAAAAAATTACAAAAAACAAACATTCACAGATCAAGTAGCGAGACAAAACTTTTCTACGGTTGTAAACAAAAAATCACGATTTAACGATTATTTTAACTCCGATTTTGATGATTTTTTTACAGCTACACTCCTTGACCCTATATGAATACAATGAAAGAATTCGATTTTCAATTTAAAATATTTACACTAGTGGATACCACAAAATCTTATGTTATACTTGATGAAAGTATGAATAAACTCTTAAGTGTTAGTGAATCTATTGTTTTGATGGGATACGCATTCTACGAAACTAGTTTCAACGATCCAACCGTCAAACATGTTTGTATATACTTCGAGATCGCATACACCAAAAATTGCAAAAAAAAACTTTCAGAGATCAAGTAAAGAGACAAAACTTTTCGACGGTTATAAACGAAAAATCACGATTTAACGGTTATTTTAACTCCGATTTTGATACTTTTTTACAGCTACACTCCTTGACCCTATATGAATACAATGAATGAATTCGATCTTCAATTTAAAATATTTACACTAGTGGATACCACAAAATCTTATGTTATACTTAATGAAAATATGAATAAACTCTTAAGTGTTAGTGAATCTATTGTTTTGATGAGATACGCATTTTGCGAAACTAGTTTCAACGATCCAACCGTCAAATTTGTTTGTATATGCTTCAAGATCGCATACACCAAAAATTGCAAAAAACAAACATTCAGAGATCAAGTAACGGGACAAAACTTTTCGACGGTTATAAACGAAAAATCACGATTTAACGGTTATTTTAACTCCGATTTTGATGATTTTTTACAGCTACACTCCTTGACCCTATACGAATACAATGAATGAATTCGATCTTCAATTTAAAATATTTACACTAGTGGATACCACAAAATCTTATGTTATACTTAATGAAAATATGAATAAACTCTTAAGTGTTAGTGAATCTATTGTTTTGATGAGATACGCATTTTGCAAAACTAGTTTCAACGATCTAACCGTCAAACTTGTTTGTATATGCTTCGAGATCGCAGACACCAAAAATTGCAAAAAAACAAACATTCAAAGATCAAGTAACGGGACAAAACTTTTCGATGGTTATAAACGAAAAAATCACGATTTAACGGTTATTTTAACTCCGATTTTGATGATTTTTTACAGCTACACTCCTTCACCCTATATGAATACAATGAATGAATTCGATCTTCAATTTAAAATATTTACACTAGTGGATACCACAAAATCTTATGTTATACTTGATGAAAGTATGAATAAACTCTTAAGTGTTAGTGAATCTATTGTTTTGATGGGATACGCATTCTACGAAACTAGTTTCAACGATCCAACCGTTAAACATGTTTGTATATACTTTGAGATTGTGTACGCCAAAAATTGTAAAAAAAAAAAACATTCAGAGATCAAGTAACAAGACAAAACTTTTCGACGGTTATAAACGAAAAATCATGATTTAACGGTTATTTTAACTCCGATTTTGATGATTTTTTACAGCTACACTCCTTCACCCTATATGAATACAATGAATGAATTCGATCTTCAATTTAAAATATTTACACTAGTGGATACCACAAAATCTTATGTTATACTTGATGAAAGTATGAATAAACTCTTAAGTGTTAGTGAATCTATTGTTTTGATGGGATACGCATTCTACGAAACTAGTTTCAACGATCCAACCATCAAACATGTTTATATATACTTTAAGATCGCATACACCAAAAATTGCAAAAAACAAACATTCAAAGATCAAGTAACGAGACAAAACTTTTCGACGGTTATAAACGAAAAATCACGATTTAACGGTTATTTTAACTTCGATTTTGATGATTTTTTTACAGTTACACTCCTTAACCCTATATGTACACAATGAATGAATTTGATCTTCAATTTAAAATATTTACACTAGTGGATACCACAAAATCTTATATTATACTTGATGAACGTATGAATAAACTCTTAAATGTTAGTGAATCTATTGTTTTGATGGGATACGCATTTTACGAAACTAGTTTCAACGACCTAACCATCAAACATGTTTGTATATACTTCGAGATCGCATACACCAAAAATTGCAAAAAACAAACATTCAGAGATCATGTAACGAGACAAAACTTTTCGACGGTTATAAACGAAAAATCACGATTTAACGATTATTTTAACTTCGATTTTGATGATGTTTTACAGCTAATCTCATTGACCCTATATGAATACAATGAATGAATTCGATCTTCAATTTAAAATATTTACACTATTGGATACCACAAAATCTTATGTTATACTTAATGAAAGTAAGAATAAACTTTTAAGTGTTAGTGAATCTATTGTTTTGATGGGATATGCATTTTACGAAACTAGTTTCAACGATCTAACCGTCAAACGTGTTTGTATATGCTTCGAGATCGCATACGCCAAAAATTGAAAAAAACAAACATTTAAAGATTAAGTAACGGGGACAAAACTTTTCGACGGTTATAAACGAAAAATCACAATTTAACGGTTATTTTAACTCCGATTTTGATGATTTCTTACAACTACACTCTTTGACCCTATATGAATACAATGAATGAATTTGATCTTCAATTAAAAATATTTACACTAGTGGATACCACAAAATCTTATGTTATACTTAATGAAATTACGAATAAACACACTAGTGGGTCACTTTCATTAAGCTTTGAGTTCCATTGGCAAGGTTTAAACTTTTGAGAAAGACTTCACAACCTTGAAAACAAAAACGCTTTCATTTTGCATATCCTTGCACATTTAATATTTGTAATAGATTAATAGTGTATGGATGTATTTTTTATGAGGCTCTTATATTCGAGTGTAGATGTAATACTTAAACGACAAATGTATTTTAATGTTTTGAAGTAATATTTATGTGACAATGTGTGGTATGTGCAAATTTAAGAAAAAAAAAATATTTTTCTTAACGGGTCATAACGGGTCGGGTCACTTTACCCGTTAGGTAAAGTGACCCGACCTATTAAGGACCCGTTAAGATAACAGGTGTGACACGACATGACCCGTTAAGATAACAGGTGTTACACGAAAACGACACGAACCCGACTGACACGACCCGTTTGCCAGGCCTATACACACCCCAGCAAAATGGCGTTGTTGAACGCAAACACAGGCACCTCCTTGAAATTGCTCGGGCCTTTCGGTTTCAATCACACCTTCCCTTCAAGTTTTGGGGCGAATGTATACTCACTGCCGCCTATACCATCAATCGTCTTCCTACCCGCCTTCTCAATAACAAAACACCTTTTGAAGTCCTCCACAATAAACCTCCACTATATGATCACTTTCGTGTTTTCGGTTGTTTAGCCTATGCCACATCCGTTCTTCCGACCACTAAGTTCTCTCCTAGGGTTCATCGTTGTATCTTTATTGGTTACCCTGCTGGTTAAAAGGCTTATAAACTCTATGACCTTGACACATATCGCACCTTCACTAGTTAGGATGTCATCTTCCATGAGGACTCTTTTCCTTTTGCTTCCCCTCCCACTACACCTGTCATAAACCCCTCATCCCACAACATCTCCCTACCCATTCCTCCCTTAATGGATGTCCCTTTTCCCATCTCCCCGGGCCCTACACCACCACCCCCTCCCTCATTACCTATTATTTTCCCCCCTTCTGACCCAATTCCCAGCACCGCCCCGCATGATTCCCTTCCCCCACCCACGGTCCCACCCGCTCCCCCATCCATGCCCTCATATACACCCTCTCCATCTCTCCGTGTGTCTTCCTGCTCCCATGCACCCCCACCTTACTTAAAGGACTACGTTTGCTCGCAGGTGATTTTGCCCCCACACCCGTCCTCGTTTTCGCCACCAGGTTTTGTCAAAGGTACGCGGTATCCCCTCTGTAATTATGTTTCTTATCATTGTTTATCTCCACATCATCTTTCATATATCTACTCTATGAGTTGGGGTGTCGAACCATCTTCTTTTGCAGAGGCTGCCATTGATCCTAACTGGCGTCGATCACTGTACGCTATCTTTTTGCCCTTGCTGCTAGTCAATCTTGGTCTCTTTATCAACTTGACGTCAATAATGCTTTCTTGCATGGTGATTTAGATGAGTAAATCTATATGTCTCATCCTCTTGGTCTTCGGCGACAGAGGGAGAATCTTGTGTGTCGCCTTCACAAGTCTCTTTATAGTCTCAAGCAGGCTTCTCGTCAATGGTTTGCCAAGTTCACTAATGCCATTCTTTTTGCTGGGTTTCAACAATCCAAAGCTGACTATTCATTGTTTAAGAAAAAGTCAGGTATTTCTTTTACAGCCTTGCTCATTTATGTGGATGATATTGTGATAACAGGCAATGATGTGGGTGCAATTGCTTCTTTGAAACTTTTTCTCCACAATCACTTCCGGATTAAGGATCTTGGTGATTTAAAGTACTTTCTGGGGATCGAGGTTTCTCAGTCCAAACATGGCATTTATATTTCTCAGCGTAAATATGCATTAGAGATTCTCAAAGATTATGGCTTCCTGGGAGCACGACCCATTGCCTTTCCTATGGACGATACAAAACTATCTGACAAAGGGGAACTCTCAAGGATCTTGAAAAGTATCGGCGTCTAGTAGGATGGTTAATTTATCTCACAATAACTCGCCCATATATCACCTACCCTGTGCATGTTCTAAGTCGGTTTATGCATGAGCCGTGTACTCCTCATATGGATGCTGCACTTCGAGTTGTTCGTTATTTGAAGTCTACTCCGGGTCAAGGCTTACTATTCCGTTCTAACAATCAAATCAAGTTGACTGCTTTTTGTGATTCTGACTGGACGGGTTGTCCTATTACTCTTCGGTCGACTACTGGCTACTGTGTTTTCTTGGGAAATTCTTTGATTTCATGGCGGACAAAGCGACAGAAAACTGTGTCACTTTCTTCTGCTGAAGTGGAATATAGAGCTATGTCGGGTGCTTGTTGTGAGATAATTTGGCTGCGCTTTCTATTGAAAGATTTGAACGTTCCCTTCACTACTACAAATTTTGACTTTACCTACAAAACTACTTTGTCGGCAAAGGCCAAAATTTGTCGGCAAAGAGTCTTTTCCGACGAAAAAATTTGTCGGCCATTTTGTCTCGCAAAGCATGTCGCCTAAGAGTTTTCCCTACAAATTGTGGTATTTTGTCGGCTAAGGTTCAAATTTTACCGACAAACAGTTTTTTGTCGGCATTTCCATGTGTCTCGACAAATATTTTCGTCGGTAAAAGGCATTTTAGCCGACCAAGTACTTTTAAGCCAACAAAATATGTTTGTCACCATGGATATTTCGTCGGCATAGTCTTCTCTGTCTTGACAAAACTGGTTTCGTCGGGAAGGACATTTAATTTATAAAAAAAAAATTTAATAATTACTTTAATGCTCAACAACTACATAAACATGTCAAAATACAATACACAGTTGTTAAGAAATAATACTTTATTGATTGATAAATTTTTAATGTACATCTAGAGTGCTTATACGAAAGCATATGTTACACAATAATATTATCCTACTGTCATTCCTCAAAATTGGCTGCCATGTAGCATCACAAAACATCATGCACCTGCAAAATAAATGTTACAAAACACAAACATAACCAAATAGGTGCAAAGTAAATGTTACAAAACACAAACAATAACCAAATAGTTAGAAGGCTCATTGAAAATGTGCACCAACCTGGCCACCACGATTCATTTGTAGCGCAATGGGAAAAAAGAGTTTCAGTTCTTGCACCAGTGTGATTCAACGACAATCAATAATCAACACCCGCCTTGTATAATATCACCAAAATGGACACGCGTGCAACAAAAACGACAATCAATAACCAACACAGCATGATACCACCAAAATGAACACAAGAGTGCAGCAAAACTGATTTGAATAATGTGATAAGTAAGGAAAAAGGCTAGGCCAACCTTTGCAAATTGTATTAGTGGAGCACTCGGGTCCCAGGTAGTAGTCATCAAAATTTTCGGGTCTCTTTGAGATGCGTTTGCATACGTATTGTTGATGTGACCTTGGGACTGAGATTCAGAAATGAAAGCCATGAAGAATCAACAGCATAACTTGATGAAAAACTAAACAATTACATGTTCAAATTATCACCAGATTACACAAGACTTTACGACAGTGATACATTATAAACAAAAGAAAAAAGTAACTTTCATATATAACTGATCATATATACGTTATAGACTAGAGAGATAACGAACCTTCTAGAGCTTCTTTGATCTTGCGCTTCTTCGCATAGAGCAGGCATTGTTTGCCTCCCAAGCTCTTTCTGTACAAGTACTATTTTTATGGAAGATTAAATAATGCCAAAGAAACACCAGTGAAAAATGAATCCAAATCACCAAACTGAATGTGTGCCGTTACTAAACATTTCTACACAGGCTGGGATTAAAATCTAACCAGTTAATGATGAAAGAAAGTTAAATAGTTACTAAACATTATTGACTTGAAAATGAATCATGTACCAAATGACTGGTGGTTGTCAAAACAACGAGAAAAATATACCCCGAGAACAATAAAGGATTGCAACAGAAGAATTGGACCACATATCAAATTTTTCATGAAATATACAGCCCAGTTGTAGAGATATCTACTACTAGAATATTAATTTGATTAAATATTGGAACTTTAAAAGCAATAAAAACCAGGGAGAGTAATGGGAAAATGACCGATTTCTCATAGCGGTCACCCTCAGAGGCGGTGCGGATCTCAGAGGTGTAGGCCAATCTGTGCTCATTGTTCTAGTATGATTCTTGCTCATGTCTAGCATTAGACATAATCAAACTACTCCGACATGCAAGAAAATGCAAGGGATGTCATCAATGTATTTAGGATAAACATAAGGCAGAGGAAAACAAAATATAAAATATATTCTCATCACAATCAAACTTACCTGCAGAAAGCTCATTGCTCATAGTGTTCTGCACAATAGAGGGACAATTCAGATTTTTTTTACTTACTTATTTGAGATCCTAGCCTCCAACACAGTTGATTTGATCAATAATCTAAATAACACGCATAAATCAGAAGCAAATTATATAAAATGAAGATAGAAGATAAATTAATACCACATAAGCATTGCCAAATTGATGTTCTCGTTTAGGAATTAATAATAGACAAAAAATGAAAAAGATTAAAAAACAAAAACACAAATCCTAGAAGCAAAATATCATATAACCTTAACCCGACAACTTCATTAGTAACATGACCCTAATTTCAATTGATTAAACATAGGAATTGATTGATGTGGTGCAAAGACTCACAATTGATTATGACTATAAAACCATAACTGCATTTTGATTGCAGTTTCTCAGAAATAAAAGTTAAAAGTAATTAAAATTCAAAAAGTAGACTAATCATCCTCAAACCCAGGCAGCCCAGAAAGAAATTACAAACCTAACTTAGATTCTCAACCAAATTCATTACCTAAAATCCCTCAAAATTACAGTGGTAGAACAAATCTAAGAAAAGCACCATAAAATTGAAACTAACCAAAAAGCTACGGGGAAAGAATAGGGTAGATAGAGATTGAGAACTTACCCAAAGTTTTAGAGAACGAAATGCAGAGAAGCACCCGGCATTAGAAATTTCAAAACTAGAATGGTCGGGCACTTCGACGGTAACGCGAGCAGACGAATCGACAGCGATGTCGAGCACACGAAGTGACGGCGATGTCGGGCATACGGAGCGATGGCGATGTCGATGGAGCTCGATTGGAAGACAGAAAGTTACGATTTCAAAGAGAAAGGGAGGGGTGGGCTATCGACAATTAAGATTAGGGTTCAATGAAAATACAATGATTTTTATAGGGGGAATTTTTCGATAAAAAGAAGAAGCGGGTGAATCAAAAAGACCAAAAAACAAAAGGCGCGAGAATAAATTAGTCTGTTCCCATCTTCTGATTGTCGACAAACCTGCATGCTTTCCCGAGGGTTATTTTATTTGTAGGCATAAATATTTTTCGCCGACAAAAATATTGTCGGCACAAGTTCAACAATTATGAGCCTACAAATTAAAATTTTCGTCGGCGAATGAGTCTTGTGGCGACAAAATTTTACTTTGTCGGCTTAGAATTTGTCGGCAAAATAATATTTTCTAGTAGTGCTTAACCGGTCCATCTGATCTATTTTGTGACAATCAAGCAGCATTGCATATAGCTGCCAACCCTGTTTTTCATGAACGTACTCACCACATTGAGATGGATTATCATTTTATACATGATAAGATTGTTGATGGCACTATAACTACCAAGTATGTTGGTACGGCACATCAGTTGGCAGACCTATTTACGAAGCCTCTTGGGAAGGAGAAATTTTCAACCATGTTACGCAAGTTGGGCGATCTTGACATTCACTCTCCAACTAGAGGGGGAGTGTTAGACAAATAGGAAAGTAGTTAGACTTAAATTGTAACTGTACTCCTAACTTGTACGAGGAATCCTTGCTGCTCAAGAAATGTATTTGTATATATATATACTTTCACGTATCAATGAGAATATACAATTCAGCCATATATTATTTTTCTACAACGAGTGACACCTATTCGCCTACTGTGTTAAAAATATTGTTTGAATTTGACTCTCCGTATTATGCTTTCCTCAGGGCTTGCATCAACCACCAAAAAGTTCACTTTTTAATTCTTTGGTTCTATTTGCCTTGTAATTCAAGGCGGATTCTTGCATATGTCCTTGTCGGGTGTATTCTCCGTCTAAGTATAACGCTCATCATATCTTTCTCGTAGACAACTATTAAAACTTGACCAATTGCTTTACACCCAAACTACACTGTGCGACACTGTTTGGCGTTCAAGTTAGCGTGTATTGTTTCATTACATATGGACCACCATGCCATGGTTTAACCTTCAAGTTCCACTGGCCCAAGTCAATCTCAAGCTCCGAATTAATATTATAGCTTAGGTACTAGGCGAAGGCATGAACAATTTGAAATTTATAGAGAGCTGTATATAACAGGTCTTACCTCCACCACACTTCATCTTAGATTCCATTTCCTTATTACATACTACTGTGAAAACTCATTTTCACTTTCCAAAGCAATTTTCTCGAAAATGGGTCTGTAAAACGTTACCACACGAACCGTAAAGTTCCATATGGGTATCAAAGATGAGGTTCTGTTACAGGAGGACTTTGTTCTCAACTCTTTTTGTTGTTCTTGTTCTGTTTTCTTGCCTGAAAGTTGGAGAAATGAGGCAATTGAAGGCAGAACAATGGGCTAGGAACCATGGTGTTGTACTTGTGTTTCGGTCCCTCCAGATGGGTCGACCGCCACCAACTGGCCCTAATCCCAGCACCCACATCCCCGGCCGCAGCTCAGGTGTTTGCACCTGAATGAGATGAAAATAGCTTTACCACTTAGTGCATGAAGCCTTCTTGGCCATGCCATTCCTCACCCTACTAATACCGAGAATTAACGTTCCGGCCGGCACTATTGAGACTAAGAAACGGGAGCAACAGATGTTATAAAGTTCAAAATGTGAATAATGTTTAGCTAGATTAGCATCCCTGCGGTAGAATTCATGTATAATAACCCATTTTTTTCATTATTTTTGTTGGTCAATTGGC